CTCACATCCTTTGCCCTCTACTCTGGGCTGCTGGCTCTTTCTGCAGCCTTTTTACTGCTACTCATTGGCTCCTTCTTGCTACTGTTTTTCAGCCACACCCCTGGTCTTATGGAAGGCAAGATAGAACACCTAGCCTTCTCGGATAAGGGCGAAAAATCTTGGAGGTCCCGTGTGCAAATTTCGAACGTTAAAGATCCCTTAGTGGTCCAAAATCGATAAGAGCAGGCTTCGGCCGCTACCCGGGAAAAATTGAAAATATCCTACCAACTGAAATTGTTAGATGTATCCCGCTCGCTCATATGACCTTATGCTGTTGCGAGCGGCATAAAACACTTACCAAAAAACCCCGAAAAAACCCATTAATTTGTATACCACCGACTTTCCTGAAAGAGCTGCATGCCGTGGGTGTCGCAAGCAACGCACAGTCTGTATACTTTTCACACCAGAGACAAACGAAAATAGTTTTCGTTGTGTTGTACCATTCAGAAATCATGAACAGCAGGAAATAAGTAAGACTTTACCATAGCATTAAACTGCTTATTTGTGGGTGTTGAAAGGTGCATCTTTGTTAGAGCTTTGGGATGGCGTAAAAATTTTGTTAAAATCGAAATTTGGACTCAAGTGGATTCCTGGAGACAGCGACGATATCAAGTCTAGTGTAAACTATGAGCTTATGAGATTTGAAGATATCGTGGACTGGGACGATTGCTCCAGAGTATAGCAATCAGCGCTTGTGGTGAAGAGTTTAGGCACTTCTCGGTCCCACGTAGGAGACCAGAGTTCGATTCCCGAGTGGGGAGAATTTTTATCGAGTTTCTCTTTCTTTCTGCTGGGAGGCCCGCTTTAAAAATGACCCAATGTGTGTTGAAAGGACTTAAAAACACCTTCATTAAAAAAACCAGGACTTTTCTACAACTTCTCTATGGGTAGTTGGTGGGTGCTCTGGTTTCGTTTGCTCCTTCTTTACTATCATACATAATATATCGTCATTATTCCCCTCCTTCCTTTCGTTATTACTCTCAAGTAACATTTCTAATCTACGGCTTTTATATGACCTAATTGTCTTTAAAATGCCTTAAAACTCTTACTAAGTGGATGGTTGGCGGCTGCTCTCAACTGGTATGATTTGCTCCTTCTTTTCTATCAAACATGTATCGTCTTTAGACTCTCCTTTTTTAAAACGTTTGGTTACACTTTAGCAATACCTCTAATCTTCGGCATTTGTATGACCTAATAGTGTTGCAAGAGCCGTACAGCTCACGCTAAAAATAAACCACCTTCCACTTTCAACTTTACTCATTTCCCCACTCCATCTCTCCTGGCGGGTTGTTGGGGGGGGGGTGCCACTGGTAAGCCCTACCTCTTTACTTTCCCTGTTGTTTCTGTATGCCTGACTTACTTTTTCTCCAGCGTTAAATAATCATTATCGTGTCGATGTGTTCCTCTGTACTTTAAAAAAATCTCCCTCTCAATCAAGTAAAACGCACCCTACAAGCGAGTGGTTGGCGGGTGCTCTTGTGTGGTTTGCCTTTCCTTTCAAACACCCATCGTCCTCATTTCTCCTACTTCTTGTTATGTTTGTTACTCTTCTTTCTTGTAACATCAGAGAGTTTACAGTAATACTATTACTGTAAACCCTCTCTGGTAACATATCTACTCGTTGGCACCTATATGATCTGATTCTGTTTGCAAGTGCTGTAAAGCTTGTACTAAAACTAAATCACCTTCCACCTCCATCCTAATTCTTTTCTCCACACCATCTCTCCTCACGAATGGGTGAAGGACACCCCTAAGATCCTAGCTCTTTTCTTTCCTTCTGTTCTTCCTTTATGTGTGCCTTACTTTTCCCGGCGCTAAATAACCATTACTGTGTAGATGTCCTTCTCTCTAATCAAACAACTTCTGCAGTTTCGAGCGCCGTAAAAACTCTACTAAACCAAACTAAACAAACAAACCATCTTTTTTCCTCTCCATCTCAATCAAATAATACACTCCCAAATATTTTTTTTTCAAAAGATGATGTTCTTCGTTTCAGGCTGCCAATCATTCAGAGTGTCAGCTATTCCTTCATAGTGCCAATTTTTGTGGTCATGAACCTAGAGAAAGAACGCTGCCCGTACAATTTCAAAGACGAATGTAAGTGTTGAAGCAGACCCTCATATTATGGGCTCAATAAATACACACACACA